GATATGTTCATTGGAGGGAGGGAGAGAAGGAGAGAGAGGGAAAGAGAGATGTGACAGAGAAACAATGATCAGTCACCTCCCATATGTGCCCTGACCTGGGATCAAACCTACAACCTAGGTATGTGTCCTGACTGAGAATCAAACCCGCAACCCTTTGGTGTGTGGGGAAAATGCTCCAACCGAGCCATGAGGCCAGGGTGACAGCAGCTCTTAACTTTAATGTTATGCTTCTCAATCTTTTATGAGTAAAGCTTTTATTCTGTCTTACTAAAGAAGTCTTTTCTTATCTTGAGATTATAAAAATACTTTTCTATATATTCTTCTAAAAGTTTTAAAGTTTTATTTTTCAGAGTGAAGTCTGTGATCTGAAATTAAATTTTGTGCATGGTAGGGAATAGAGAACCTGCCAAATGGATAACCAATTGTCCTGACATCATGTGTTTCATAGACCATTCCCCCTGATCTGCAGGGCCACCTTTGCCATATATGGAGTCCTCTTGTGATTCTGTTTCTATTCTAAAAGTGTTAGGTTTGCTTTCCCCAATTATATCTTTAGTCAACCTGTAATTGATTTTGGTATATGGTATAAGGTAGAGATGTAACTTCACTTTTCTTTTCGCATGGGTAACTAATTGTACCAGCAGCATTTATTGTCATAGATTAATTTCCCTGATATGTATGGGTCTGTTTCTGGGCTTTGTTGTCCCTGTGTTTTATTTTTCTCTCCCAGGAGCACTACTATAATGGTTTACTTCTCATTGCTTTATTATGTCTTGATGGCTATCAAGGTTAAGTCCCCCTTCATCATTCTTCTTCGGGAATGTCTTGGCTCTTCCTAGCCCTTTACCATCCCTAAAAATCACATACGTAGTTTTGCTCTGGCTGGCGTGGCTCAGTGGATTGAGTGCTGGCCTGTGAACTGAAAGGCTGCTGGTTTGATTCCCTGCCAGGGCAGAAACCTGGGTTGTGGACTGGGTCCCCATTTGGGAGTGAACAGGAGGCAACCAATCAATGTTTTTCTCCCTCTCTTTCTTCTTCCTTTTTCCTCTCTCTGAAACTAAATAAATTCTTAAAAAAAAAAAAGTCCCATAGGGATTTTGGTTAAAATTTCAGTGAGTTTATATATTAGTTTGAGAAGGAAATGATATTTTGCACCATTTTGCATCTTCCTAGCCATAAACATGATATATCTCTGCTTTTATATATATCTCCTTTTATGTCCTGTAACAGAATTTTATGATTTTTTCCACATAAAGTGTGTTTCTCTTTGTTAAGTTTATTCTTAACATTTTCTGGCATCTAGGTCATCTTTTCCACAATTATATTGTCTGATTGATTGACAAAATTGATATTTACATGTTGATCCTGTGTCTTATAACTTTGAAGTTTGAGCAGTTCCAGTGTAGGCCTTATCTGTGTTGCCTGCAGACATTTTAGTATTGTCCATTACTAGTAAACAACAATTTATTTACTTTCAATCTTCATTTCCCTTTCTCCCCCTTTTTCCTATTGATTGGCTAGCATCTCCAGAACAAAATTAAATAGAAGTAGTAATCAAAGGCTTCTTTCTCTTATTCTTGGCCTCAAAGAAAATGCTTCTAATAATTCACTATTAATTGTGAGGTTTGCTCTGTGTTGTTGGTAGATACACATGAAACCAAAGTTGAAGAAAGAAAAATAAATATACAAAATATTCAATGTGAGACACAAATTGTAGATACTTTTAGTTTTGGGGTTAGGGAGAAATCAATATAAAACTCACAGGAAGACTAGATAGCTGTAAACAGCCTAGATATCTAGGAAAAAACAAATCACAAAGAGCCCTAACCATAAAACATCAACTAAGTATTAATCAAGCTGATTAATTTCTTAGATTTAGAGGAAACTACAGTGACAATCACAAAAAGAAATCCTGGAGAAAATTATGAGAATTGTGTGAGATTTATTTCAGAGCATTTCACAACTGTTTTGGATATGTTTTATGACCCAGGATTTAATGGGGTTGAAGAAATTGAAAACAACCAGGGACCGCTTAGAAATTAGCCCTAATAAGAGAGAAGTGGGGATGGTTTTTCAATCTCTATACACTTTTGGTGCTAACTTTTTCCTGTACTTTAACAGAAGCTTTGGTCATTTTGTAAAGGAATTAAGTGATCGTCACCTAGACTTTTTCCTACTTGGCTCTTTTTCTGCCCCTTACTTTATTTAGGTACCTACTGTTCTGTCTTTTGGTAATCTCTTACTTTTCAAAGTCATCTTCCTGGTCCCTTATTAAATCCTGTTGCTGTCCCTCCACTTTCCAAAACAAATTCTGAAGACAAAAAGGCATTCCACTGTCAAATGAGTTTGGGGATTATGGTGTCAAGCAATATCCAGTAGCTTACTTTACTGCAGGACTTCTAGAATCTTCATTATGCTCATATGCATTGTGAATCTCCAAAAGGGAAATAAAGCTAGAAACATATCCCTGTATAGATGTGGTTGTGAACAAAAACCAACTCTATCTTTGTGTCGTGGATCATGCTGTGACCTTTAACTACCCTGATTGTACTATGTAAGCACACCAAAGTCTCTAGTTAATGATTATCTGTGTTCCATACCATGTAGTCATAAATACTTTGGTTAGTAATGGCCAGAATGGAATCACAACCGAAATCATCATCAGGCTGGTGATAGAACCAATTGTAAACCATTACCTGTCATAAGACCACCAGGAGGTATGGCCCCCGGTGCACACCACATTCTTTGTCCCTTTGTCTTGTCAATTATCGGTGCTGGAGTTATATTATAAAAAATGTACCGTAATAGGGGTCCAGTAGTGGAGAATAATTTGTGCAGAACTACTGGGTCATCTGTCTGCTCTGGCCCTACGTTCCTCTAAGTAAATTACCCTAAAATAACTTCTGTTCTAGTTTATGGAGTTGTATGTATTGTTCTTCGGTCTGAAAATACCTTCTCACTACAGTGGCTATTACACCTTTGCCCCACTGTTGAACATTACCCAATTAACTGATTGTGGAACCCTTTCCAAAGAACACCTAATAATACCATTAAACAGTTCATTAATCTTTAAATAAAAACTCCCAGGTTCTTTAGTAAATTTTTCCTTACAGGAAGACATGTTATATGCTCTCTCACTACTAGATTGTAAACTCTTTGAGGGCAATTTCTTCTTTTCTCTTTAAGTATTATCTGATCTCATCTATATATTGAAACCCTGGGATTTTCTTAGGTCCTGAGATGGGAACACTGGATACCACCCAAGAGTTCATGCACGGAAGATTCTTGCTAATTAAGCTAATTTAGTTTTCCTTGATCTTTTTACTACACCTCAATTCAACCACTTTTGATGCTTTATTCAAGCCTCTGAGCTAGGCACTGCTGAGCTAAAGAGAAGAGTAAGATGTAGTTTCATCTCCCAGGAGCATGTATAGAGGCGGTAAGACGAGCACATGACACAAAACACAAGTTAAATGCTAAATGAGATTTACAAACCACCTTGGGGTTCAATGGAAAAACAATGAACAACTGGGCATTTGAGGCAAGGGGATAGGTGAGAAGAATCAGGAACTATCTCATGGAGGATGTATCATTTGGGATAAGCCTTAAATAAAGAAAATGTAGACAGAGATATTGGAAGAGTAGCGTTTCAGATGGAGAGTATAGTATGTGCAAGGCATGAAGGTAGAAAGGGGCAAATTCACGTGGCTGTTTGGCAGGAGCATATGGAGTATACAGGATGAGTTGTAGATTGGCAATGACTATAGAATGGATAATAAAAATGGGAAGAATAGCTCGAATGTCAGTGAGAGTTATGTTAATGCTGTTGTCCACTGGGAGCCACTTAAGAACTTTTGAGTGGGAGAGTGACGTAGGGACCAGCTGCTCCTCTTCCATCGTCACCTGAGCTCTAGGTCCTTTGCCTTTGTTCAACACAGAAACGTAGGGAAACTTCAGCCAATGAATCAAACTTCTGGTCCCCTAAGCTGCCTATCAGGTACCTCATTTTGGAGAGCTGTACAGAGTATGACAGGAAGCCGGGCACTAGATTCTAATGTGCGTGCACTGTGTAGAATACTGTCACATGCTAGAATGCTGAGAAGAGGGTGTTCAAAATGAAGAATATAGACAAGAGGTCATCGGTAGATTTAATGATAATACTTTGGGGAGTTATGATTTCAGGGTATTAAAAAGGAAACCAAATAGATAAGAAAAAAAGATGGATGCAGATTGCAAATTCTAAGCAGAGAGCCAGGAGATCAGACCATACCTAGTCAGACCTCCAAGGCAGCCCAGGACTAAAATTGGTACTGGTGTGCAATGAAGGGTGAAACTTAAACAGTTGGAGGTTAGTTTAAGGTTACCCACAAGGCCTTGGAAGCACTATCCGCCTGGTGTAATGTTGAAAGGACTAGACACTCCCAACTGTTCAGAGGGGCCTAGAGGGGCTATGTGTGTTTAGTAGTGTTAATGTTTTCTGTGACGTAGACTTACAGGCAAGCTAAACGGGTGGGGAAAGCGAAGTACCCTTAGCACCGAGAGAGCTGGAAGGTCTCTGGAGGCTGGTGCCTGCTAGGGAGGGAATCAATTACGGGTGCAGAGCCACACTTTGGTGTTTTGCTGTGGTCAAGGCAGGGCTCCAAGCAGGCTCTGTCGGCCTGGCGCGGCGTTCACCTGGGGCCGAGGACACCTAAGGATAGGCCGCACTTAGCTTCGTTTCTTCGCAGCACAGGACCTCCCGGTCCCGGTGGGCAGAATGGAGCGCGGCAGTCGGCCGGACGCTGCGGAGGCTTCCCAAAGGGAGGTTTCATCCTTCCCTTTGCAGATGCGCCCGGGGAAGGAGGGAGGCGAGGGGGTGGGGGTACCCGCCATGCCAGGCCTTCAGCTTCCCGCCGCTGCCTCCAGCCCGCCGCCCCCGCATCACAGCCATCCGCAGCCTCAGTGAGGAGGAAGCAGGGGCGGCGGCGGCAGAGGCGGAGGCACCGCCCTCTTGGCCCGCTTCCCGACCTGGCGGCCTCCGCAGGACCCATGGCGGATTCCTCGCCCGTGCTGGCCCTGCGGGAAGGCGGCCCCCGTGCGCCCCGGTCTTCAGCCCCGTCCCCGCCGCCGCGGTCGCGCTCAAGCTCCGAGCCGGAGGAGGCCGAGCTGTCGCTGAGCCTGGCCCGCACCAAAACCCGCTCGTATGGTAGCACAGCCAGCGTGAACGCCGGTGTCTTTGAGCGGCATGTGGAGCACCGGGTCCGCGCGAGCGACACGCTGCAGGGCATTGCGCTCAAGTACGGAGTCACGGTAAGCAGTGATGGCCGCAGCGGCCCGCGCTGGCTGCAGCGGTGGTGGTGGGTTGGGGGAAGGAGGTAGGTTCGGGGGGAGGAGGGGGCAGAACGTCTCGGGGCGGAGCGTACGAGTAGTGGGGGTCGAGGAGGCAGCCATCTGTCTCGGGGAGGCTTGGCCCCAAGTACTGGCTCTGTGTGCGATGCCGGCAACAGCAATGGTCGCCAAAGCTGGTCCTGTTAGCCAGGGGGGCGGGCCGCCAAGGCTCTGTCCTCAGGTAGGTGCATCGAGTTCCCGGTGCCCTGCCCAGATTCCGATCTGTCTTGCGAGTAAAGCCAAAGAGGATCAGAGCTTTGGCATCATAACCGGGAGCCGCGGTCACCTGATTTTCAGTCCCGTTCATAACACCACGTATATATTTACTCAAAGCCGAGCTGACCTGTGCAGTTGGGCAGAGAATTTTGTTTTTTGGGTAAACAAGCACTGTGATGAGTCAGGAATGGCAGTTGTTCCCGCGGAATGCTCTGGTTCTATCGATTATGCTTCTTTATTTGGAAGTGAAATTACACCCCTGGACTCACTGGCAACTGTGAATGTGACATCTGTCGCTAAGCAGGAGCCAAGAACTGGTCTGGGTGAGCTGGAGAGCTGTGTTTATTATAAATTTATAAGCGTGTCTGTGTTGGGTATATTGCATTACACCTCTGGGAAGAACATGGAAACCTGAGGGAACATATTGTTTCATTAAAATTACTTATAATTAACTCTGAGCTATGTGATGGCCTTTTTGCATTTGAGTTATGTATCAGTTTTCAGTATTCTTTCCTGAAGCACCTTAGACAGCAATCGGATGAAAGGTGATCTTTTCTATACCTCTCTCTTAAAGTGAAACTCTGGCTCTTGACCAAACGGCAGAGACTGAGGAATCTATTTTGCACATTCAAGCTGGTATATATTTACCTAGCAGGTCCTTCGATCATGTAAACATTTTGAGACCAAAGATCTTGCTGTGCAGGCATGTACTGACATTATCATGCCATGCATTGTCCCATTCTGCCCTCTTGGGAGTTTCTAAATAGGAGCTTAAAACTACAGTTCTTAAGTGCATTAATGGGGCCTGGTTTGGGTCAAAGCCAGGGGAAAGAAGAATTGGCAAACAACAGTAGCTCCCTTCTGCTGAGTGCTTGCTAGGTGCCAGGCGTTGCATTTGTCCTGTTCCATCTTGTTCTTATTTAATTTGACTTTCCTTATAAACCTTGAGATAGGTGTAACTAATCTCCTTTTTACAGATGAGAAGGTAGATGAGAGGTAAAGATATTTTCCAAGTATGCTCATTCATTGAGGCCAGCTTGAATCCGCACAGTGATAAAACATTGGCTTTTCTCTCGATATTCCTTCTGATTTCCACCCATATTTTTATCCTGGTGTTATCAAGAGCTCTCTTAACATCTTGGTTACTAAAGAAGGAAAGTCTTTTTTGTCTGGTCTCTATGGGTCTTACCTATGAAGCCAGGGTGACTGCACCTAGGAATCCATGATATCCAGAGAAGTGGTGTTTCTCCTGCTCACTACCCACATCAGTCTGTCTGCAACCCACTGCCCTCTGTGGTTTCACTTGGCTTGCTTCGAGCTTCTAAACAACTTGATCACTGCAGGTCTCCACCATAGATCAAATTCTTTCTAACCCTTGTTTTTCACTAATAGAGATTCTGTTACTCATAACCTTTTACCCCTTTCTGTTAAAGTGTAAATCTCAATTTTTCATTAGTTTTATAAAGACTTGATTTTAAGATATTAAGCTCAAATGAAATGAACTAGAATCTGTAATCACAATAGTCTGTTATAGGGTTTCTCAACTGCAGCGCCATTGATATTACGCACTGGATAATCCTTTGTTGAGGGGAGGGTTGTCCTGTGCATTGGAGGATGTTTACTTACTTTAGCAGCATCTGTGACCGCTGCCTATAGATGCCAGTAGGACCCCCACCCCCAACCAGACATTGCCAAATGTTCCCTGGGAAGAAACTCACTCTGGATTGAGAACCACTGGTGTATTACATATATATCATTTACTTTGGGCCCTGAACTATGAAGTTAATGAATTTTTTAGAGACCTCTCTACTGATTATGTAGCCTTAATGAAAGTGGTAATACTGTAACAGCGAAGTGATCTACTTGGCTTTAATTAATATCTACACGTATTAACTGAATTTACTTATTGTAAATTGAGATTTTAGGGAGAAGCTAAAAAGGCAGAAAGGTTTTCCTTTTTTCCTGACTGAACAGAAAGAATTTGAGTAAGTTTCTAATATTGACTGCCAAGATCATCAATATATTTAAACTGCCGTTTAAAGAAGTAGGTTAATGAGATGTTAGAGATTTAGAAAGCTCAGGTAGTGTACCTGAATTAAGAGTGAATCCAGGCAAACATTTGACTTGAACATCCCATGTCTGGCAAGAGACCTCAACAATCTTACTAAGCAGAGCAGGAACTCTCAGGGAAGCCTGTCTGCGGATGACAGCTCCCCAGCCCACCCAGTGAGGAGTCCAAACAGGACCCCAGACCCTTGGTGGGTGACACTGTTGAAAACCAGTAGTATTGTAGGTATAGGGAGGTTCCCAGAACAAAGACTCTGAGAAGAAGCGAAGATGGAGACCCAGTTCCAGTCCTGGGTTACTAGGGGAACAACTTGGAAACTGGTTATCTGAAGTGGAACTCAAGGGCCAGCAGCAATGTGCATCCCAAGATGTGGAAATAGATGTGTTCCTCAAACTTGCCTGGATAGGAGAATGCCCAGGGACAGGCTGAAAAAGAAAGGATTCCAGCTGACATTGAACCTGCTTGACAAGGATATTCAGAAAAGGGACTCAGGAATCTTTATGTTTTTATGCATGGCCTCTTCACTTGTTTGCAAAGCTCTGTCCCTTCTTGGAGGGCCTTTGCACTTGCTGTTCCATCTGTCTGGAACACACTTTCTCTGAGAGCTGCGTGCAGGGCCCCATTCATGGGCGTGTGACCCGTGCAGTCACACAGGGCCGCATGTTTATAAGGACCCTGCCCGTGGTTTAATGCTCTGCTGTTGGCAACTGGAAACTTAATAATTCGTGGACAAGGGCCCCCCATTTTCTCTTTTCACTGGGCCCTACAAATCACGTAGCTGACCTTGGCTGTGCGACTTGCTCCCTCACTGCCTTCAGGTCTTTGCTTAAGTGGCTCCTCCAGGACCCCCCTGACGACTCTATGTCAAACTGCAACCCTCCTGCCCTGCCCTGCCCTGCCTTGTTTTCCCAACAGTACTTAACATTCATCCAGTTTTTCTTTTTTCTCCAACTTCTATCTTTCTGGTGATACATTAGTGAATAAATAAAAATCCATGCTCTCATGGAGCTTATATTTTAGTCAGTTGAGACAGTAAGTAAACAAAAATATGTTATGTGTCAGGTATTGATAAGCAAAATGAAAAAATTAAGCAGGAAAGAAGACAGGGAGGGCTGGTGGACGTGGCTGCAATTTAAATAGTGTGGCCATGGACGACCTCCCTGAGAAGGAGGCGAGGGAAGGAGCCATGCAGATATCTTTGAAAAATATTCCAGGCAGAAGGAACGGCAAGTGGTACAAAGGCCTTGAGGTGGGAACATAATTGGCAAGTTCCCAGTATAGTGTGGCTGGTGCTCAGAATGCAACAGCAACAGGGTGTTTTTGGACCAGAATAACTTAGAGCCTTAAAGGCCATTGTGAGAACTTTGGTTTTTTTGTCTGAATGAGTTGGGAAGCATTAGAGGAGTTTGAGCAGAAGAGTGACGTGATCTAAGTTACGCATTAAAAGGATCACTCTGGCCCTGGCTGGGTAGCTCATTTGGTTGGAGCATCATCCCGATACATCAAGGATACGGGTTTGATCCTTGATCAGGACACATATAAGAATCAACCAATGAATGCATAAATAAGTGGAAAAATAAATCATCATTTCTCTCTAAACCCAATTTATCAAAAAAAGGATCACTCCTGCTGCCGCTTTGAGAATAGACAGGTGGGGGTGGCGGGGGTGGGTGAGAGCAGTGGGGGCGGGGCGGGGCGGGGCGGGGGCGGGGGCCAAGGCAGACAGAACGGAGGCTTTGCAATAATGCAGGCGAGAGAGTAGTTTGGACCAAAGCAGTAGGGAAGGAAGTGGTGAAATGATTGGATTCTAGGTAATTGGTTGATATGCTGTGTATTTTCTGCTTATTTGTTTACTGTTCCGTTTGAGTGTCTCTGCCCTAGAGGTCGGCCACGGGGTCCAGGAAGCTTCTCTATAGGAAAGAAAATTGTGGACCTGGCCAGGGACCCCAGTTCTTCTGCCAGTGACTTAGAAAATATCTTAATGAGACTTTCCACCATCCCTTCTAAAGTCGTTTATAGTTATTCATAACTGACATTCATTATTTTTTTAAACTAGCTTTTATGGAGCCTGCTTTGTTTGAGGCCCTGTGCTAGATGCTAGGCCCTGTGCCTGTAGCTGCTGGAGAAGCCAGGCTGACTGTGTGGCTGACCTCTGTATATTCTGCGTCTAGCCTGAGTCTTCACAGGGCGGGCCCTCCACGTATGGGGGGATTTAATCCACAGGAAAGCCTGACTGGTATGATGTCACTAAGCCCTGCAGTTGAGCAGACCCTTAAAGATGGGGCCCAAGGTACAGGGTGAATGAGGGGGTACATTCTGCTTGACTCGAATTGCAAAGTTGGATTGGAGGCTAGCTCCCTAACCTGCACAAAGATTACTGCTGCAGCTGGTACTTGGTGCTTCTTTCCTCCCCTGCCCCCAGCATTGGGTCTTTATATTGAATTACATAGAGATTTAGATTTGAACATCTTTATCAGAGTAAGAGGCATTTGAGAGGATGTGGCTGGGAAACGGAAACTCCTTGGGCTGAGTAGCGAAACTGTTAAGTAAAGTTCAAATCTCAGACATGAACTTGCTCGGGCTGGAATTTCCCTGGCTGTGCTGTCTCCACCGAGCCACTGAGGCCCCTCGCCTAACC